ATAATAGATTCGAATAATGCATAGCATATAAAAGCTGAATGTTTGGGGAATCCAGCAAGTATAGATACATTCCTTGCTCTTATCCATATTGCTGTAATACGCGTTCAAAGTTAAAAAATATGATTGGAATGTGAACAAGTATAGATACATTCCTGTGCTCTTATCCATATTGCTGTAATACGCGTTCAAAGTTGAAAAATTGAACTTCGAAATAGTGTTTTCACATTTTTAAAATTTTGAAACTATTTACTNTAGATACATTATCCATATTGCTGTAATACGCGTTCAAAGTTTAATGCTCGAAAAAGCAGTGTTTTTACATTTCATTGATTTACTCGATAACTATAATAGATAGAATGAATCCAAAAGATGCATATGAAAGCTGAATGTTTGGGGAATCCAGAAACTATAGATACATTCCTGTGCTCTTATCCATATTGCTGTAATACGCGTTCAAAGTTGAAAAATTCCTTTTATGAAATGGAGGGGGTTGGGGTGACGCCAAATGTTTACATACTTTTGAGGGAGACGTAGTAACATCAAATTTGGAAACCACTGGTTTATAGGCATCTAACGAGGATATATTAATTAATTATGCATTCGCCGGTAAAAGTTTCGGTCAGTGGGAAAAGGAGCAGTCGGCAATGATGACACGTTATTTATTCATGTTTAGAGTGTGCACGAGAGAAAGAGAGATGGATGCAGTTTATATAACAATAGGATTGACGGAAAGAGAGAGAGAGAGGATTTAGTGGGGATTACAACAGGAATCACTAAATTAACTCGAATCCATTCTATATTGTTGTTGTTGTTAATATTATCATTGCATTATGCGCAAATTTACATAATAATTTAACAAATTGTTGTTAGAATTCGTTCCATTAACAGACATAAAATTCGTTGCTCGCATAGATCAACTCGTACGGTTAAACCACTTTGTTACTTTAGTATTGATTCAGTTTTTTATTTTTATTTTTTTTTAGGATCTAAACTAGCAGACGTTGGACGTTTATGGAAGACCTTTCCGATTGAATCCTTATCTGCATGACGTTTCCACTTGAAGGATTACTCCTTTAAGAGAATAAATCGAAGATGAATCCATTTCACGTAATCGCTTTACATGATCCCAACTTGGAGATAATTCCATTACGAAACTTCTTGGACTTCCATCCTACCTACCTACCTACCTACTACTCAATGATTAATTATGGACGGAATCTATTTCATTTTCGATTCCTCGACTCAACTTTTGCTATCAAACATCTAAAGATTATTCTATAAGTTTTCAATCTACGATTTACGCGAGGATTAAAATAGATTTGCACATAAAATAAACTGATTAATTGGTAAATATGTTCGGAATCGAAGATCTGCTTACAATCCAGTTGCCAAATTAGTCGAGCGTTCTCGAATTATCCGTTCCGAGATTAATATCAAATCAGTTTATAGCGTGGCTCACGATTGACTGAGAATACACGAGGATTATTAATGTTCTTATAATTTCGTAACCTTCGTCAACAAATCTCCTGATTGATCTATAGAACGTGTAACTTTTTTTTTTTATATATGTTTTATAAGAGATTATCGAGAGGCGATTTACTACTGTTTTATCATTTCGCTTTATTGAAAAAAAAATCATTAAAAATATCGTTAAATTTTGAATATTTATTATATTTTACAGAAACAGAATTTACAGATTTTTTATCATATTTAAGCAGATTATTCTGAAAATCATTATTTTTCATTATTATATTAAAAATTATGCATTGAAATCATTTATAAAAGATATTGAAATAATTTATTATTTCTAAAAATGTAAGTAAAATAATTATGTCTAATTTTAACTAAACTAGTAAATAATTAAATACTTTAAATAAAATCATTTTTGATTCAATTAGAATTGACTTTGTCAATTAATGCATTCAAAGATAATTAAATTTACCATCAAATTCAGCAAACTAAATGTTATTGTGGGCAATTACAAATCGCTTTGTATTAATTACATTTAATAGATATTTCAAACAGGTTTAAAGTTATCGTTTTGTTGACCTCTTTGATCAAATTAATTCGTTAAGTAATTACTTATTGTAATGATATAATTAAATATCGAAAATTATTATTCTTAGAATTCGTTTCGTATTGAATTAGTTTTTGCTTTATTGAAGATTCATTGCAAAAGAATTGATTGAGAACTTTTTATTTTAAATCGTAAAAAATCGAATTTTGCATCGTTTTCTTTCAGTCAGTACATCGGGAATCTTGTTTGAATGTAGTCCTCTAGTTTTATTATGTTGTTAGTGATTGATATTTTATGTTATTAAGATTTGTATTTATGTGTTGTTAAATGTTTTTTTGAGAGATAAAGTAAGTATATTTTTGTTAAAAGAAAACGATTTATATGTGTTGTATTTAAATGTGTACGTGGTTTTTAGTCTACAATAATGAGCGATAAGGATGTGGTATCGATTAGTTCAGTCCAAAGGAACGAAGCTTTACTTTCCTTACAAACGAAATTAGAGATTATGCGAAGATTCGATGACGGTGAGAAGCCCGTGGAAATAGCGAAAGCGTACGGTTTGATTCCGAACGTGCTGAAATCTATCCGTTATCGCGACAGAAAGAAATGCAAAGGGTTTAATGGACCTTCTTTATCCATGACCATGATGAAAATGGAATTTATACTCGTGATTTGGATTTACGCCGAAAATGCGATGAAGAAGCCTTTAACCAAGAAGTTAATACTGGAGAAGGCCAGGGAATTGTTTTATCTGGTCAAGAATCAAAGCGCGCATTTGAGTTACGATGATCCTGAAGAGATGTTCGAATCAGGCAAAGATTGGTTTTCGCGATTCATAAGTCGCAGTAATCTTCAGCACATTCCGATGGACGAGGAAACGTCCGGTTCGAGGGATTTGGATCCGAATGTTTTACGTAATAAACTGCAAGCTGTGGCGGATAAAGGCGGTTGCTTCTCTAATAAATTTTTATATATGATGGATTTGAGGGAATTGTTTCGTGAACAAACGATTGATGAAATCATAGAAATTTCTGATAGTTCGGGATGATGTGCAAATGATATATCGGGCTTTTATCATTTGCAGCAAAAACGTGCAAAGACGAACAGAAAACATGTACAAACGGATACATATTTGTAAGGAAAGGAGATTAGTAAAGCAGGTTTTATATGTATTTACGTTTACTTTTATTGACATATTTGTAAAATAATAAAGATTTTTGCCATTCATTTTGTTTATTTTCTTTCATACGGTTTTTACACACAAAATGAAATCACATTCTAATGTTTAATTCTTATAATATTATCGCGGAAACATTCAACTCTACATGAAAATGGTTGAGAAACGATTGTATAAAATGTCGTGGTTATGCAGGATGGTTTTATGTAAATTTAGCGAAAACTAATATAATATTCCGTAAGCTAAGGAGGGGAATCTTCTTAAGAAACGCTGCCACTGACTGTGCTTACATAATTCACAAGGGATTAACAATTACATTCTGGTACGACCATGGTTTCCAAACTTGATATTACTACGCCTACCTACCAAAAATATGCAAGAGCACAGGAATGTATCTATAGTTGCTGGATTCCCCAAACATTCAGCTTTCATATGCATATATTGGATTCATTCTAACTATTATAGTTTTCGAGAAAATCAATGAAATGTGAAAACACTGCTTTTTTAACGTTTTTTCAATTTTAAAAGCCAATTACTAATATACGGATGAAACCACAATAATATATAAATACTAGTTACAATCCCTAAACATTCAGCTTTCATATGCATCTTTTGGATCGATTCTAGCTATTACAGTTTTCGAGAAAATCAATAAAATGGGAAAACACTGCTTTTTTAACGTTTTTTCAATTTTAAACATCAATTACTGCTAAACGGATGAAACCACAATAATATATGAATACTCGTTACAATCCCTAAACATTCACCTTTCATATTCATGTTTTGGATTCATTCTAACTATTATAGTTTCCGAGAAAATCAATGAAATGTAAAAACACTGCTTTTTAAAACGTTTTTTCAAATTTAAGCGCAAATTACTGCTAAACGGATGAAACCACAATAATATGTAAATACTCGTTACAATCCCCAAACATTCAGCTTTC